TCCAGCTCTATGGTACCATAGATACGCTCTGAGTCCTCCAGCTCTATGGTACCATAGAGACGCTCTAGCGCTGAGTCCTCCAGCTCTATGGTACCATAGAGACGCTCTAGCACTGAGTCCTCCAGCTCTATGGTGCCATAGAGACGCTCTGAGTCCTCCAGCTCTATGGTCCCATAGAGACGCTCTAGCACTGAGTCCTCCAGCTCTATGGTACCATAGAGACGCTCTAGCACTGAGTCCTCCAGCTCTATGGTCCCATAGAGACGCTCTGAGTCCTCCAGCTCTATGGTCCCATAGAGACGCTCTAGCACTGAGTCCTCCAGCTCTATGGTACCATAGAGACGCTCTAGCACTGAGTCCTCCAGCTCTATGGTCCCATAGAGACGCTCTAGCACTGAGTCCTCCAGCTCTATGGTACCATAGAGACGCTCTAGCACTGAGTCCTCCAGCTCTATGGTACCATAGAGACGCTCTAGCACTGAGTCCTCCAGCTCTATGGTCCCATAGAGACGCTCTGAGTCCTCCAGCTCTATGGTACCATAGAGACGCTCTAGCACTGAGTCCTCCAGCTCTATGGTACCATAGAGACGCTCTAGCACTGAGTCCTCCAGCTCTATGGTACCATAGAGATGCGCTGAGTCCTCCAGCTCTATGGTCCCATAGAGACGCTCTAGCACTGAGTCCTCCAGCTCTATGGTCCCATAGAGACGCTCTAGCACTGAGTCCTCCAGCTCTATGGTCCCATAGAGACGCTCTGAGTCCTCCAGCTCTATGGTACCATAGAGACGCTCTAGCACTGAGTCCTCCAGCTCTATGGTACCATAGAGACGCTCTAGCGCTGAGTCCTCCAGCTCTATGGTACCATAGAGACGCTCTAGCGCTGAGTCCTCCAGCTCTATGGTACCATAGAGACGCTCTAGCACTGAGTCCTCCAGCTCTATGGTCCCATAGAGACGCACGGAGTCCTCCAGCTCTATGGTACCATAGAGACGCTCTAGCACTGAGTCCTCCAGCTCTATGGTCCCATAGAGACGCTCTAGCACTGAGTCCTCCAGCCCTATGGTACCATAGAGACGCTCTAGCACTGAGTCCTCCAGCTCTATGGTACCATAGAGACGCTCTAGCACTGAGTCCTCCAGCTCTATGGTACCATAGAGACGCTCTAGCACTGAGTCCTCCAGCTCTATGGTAACATAGAGACGCTCTAGCACCGAGTCCTCCAGCTCTATGGTACCATAGAGACGCTCTAGCACCGAGTCCTCCAGCTCTATGGTACCATAGAGACGCGCTGAGTCCTCCAGCTCTATGGTCCCATAGAGACGCTCTAGCACCGAGTCCTCCAGCTCTATGGTCCCATAGAGACGCTCTAGCACTGAGTCCTCCAGCTCTATGGTACCATAGAGACGCTCTAGCGCTGAGTCCTCCAGCTCTATGGTCCCATAGAGACGCTCTAGCACTGAGTCCTCCAGCTCTATGGTACCATAGAGACGCTCTAGCGCTGAGTCCTCCAGCTCTATGGTACCATAGAGACGCTCTAGCGCTGAGTCCTCCAGCTCTATGGTACCATAGAGATGCTCTAGCACTGAGTCCTCCAGCTCTATGGTACCATAGAGACGCTCTAGCACTGCGTCCTCCAGCTCTATGGTCCCCATAGAGACGCTCTAGCACTGAGTCCTCCAGCTCTATGGTCCCCATAGAGACGCTCTAGCACTGAGTCCTCCAGCTCTATGGTACCATAGAGACGCTCTAGCACCGAGTCCTCCAGCTCTATGGTACCATAGAGACGCTCTGAGTCCTCCAGCTCTATGGTCCCATAGAGACGCTCTAGCACTGAGTCCTCCAGCTCTATGGTACCATAGATACGCTCTGAGTCCTCCAGCTCTATGGTACCATAGAGACGCTCTAGCGCTGAGTCCTCCAGCTCTATGGTACCATAGAGACGCTCTAGCACTGAGTCCTCCAGCTCTATGGTGCCATAGAGACGCTCTGAGTCCTCCAGCTCTATGGTCCCATAGAGACGCTCTAGCACTGAGTCCTCCAGCTCTATGGTACCATAGAGACGCTCTAGCACTGAGTCCTCCAGCTCTATGGTCCCATAGAGACGCTCTGAGTCCTCCAGCTCTATGGTCCCATAGAGACGCTCTAGCACTGAGTCCTCCAGCTCTATGGTACCATAGAGACGCTCTAGCACTGAGTCCTCCAGCTCTATGGTCCCATAGAGACGCTCTAGCACTGAGTCCTCCAGCTCTATGGTACCATAGAGACGCTCTAGCACTGAGTCCTCCAGCTCTATGGTACCATAGAGACGCACGGAGTCCTCCAGCTCTATGGTCCCATAGAGACGCTCTAGCACTGAGTCCTCCAGCTCTATGGTACCATAGAGACGCTCTAGCACTGAGTCCTCCAGCTCTATGGTACCATAGAGACGCTCTAGCACTGAGTCCTCCAGCTCTATGGTCCCCATAGAGACGCTCTAGCACTGAGTCCTCCAGCTCTATGGTCCCCATAGAGACGCTCTAGCACTGAGTCCTCCAGCTCTATGGTACCATAGAGACGCTCTGAGTCCTCCAGCTCTATGGTACCATAGAGACGCTCTAGCACTGAGTCCTCCAGCTCTATGGTTCCCCCCCCCCCAAGCACACAGAGTCAATGGGTCAAAGCACTTTATTGGATGGGCTATGGGGCAGCTATGGGGCATCCATAGGTCGCTATGGGGCACCTATGGGTGCTCTAGGGGGTTCCTATGGGGCAGCTATGGGTGCTATCGGGGGTCGCTATGAGGCACCTATGGGTGATGTAGGGGGTTGCTATGGGGCAGCTATGGGTGCTATTGGGGGTCGCTATGGGGCACCTATGGGTGATGTAGGGGTCAATATGGGGCACCCATAGGTGCTCTACGGGGTCGCTATGGGGCAGCTATGGGTGCTATAGGGGGTTGCTATGGGGCAGCTATGGGTGCTATAGGGGGTTTCTATGGGGCACCTATGGGTGATGTAGGGGGTCGCTATGGGGCACCTATGGGTGCTATCGGGGGTCGCTATGGGGCACCCATGGGGTTTAACACAGACATAGAGGGGTGCAATGGGGGGGGTCTGTGGGGAGCTATGGGGTGTCTATGGGGCTCTGTCTATGGGGTGTCTATGGGGCTCTATGGGGTGCTCATAGGGTTCTATGGGGCTCAGCTGATGTAGACACAGGGGAAGTCATGGGCCCCATAGATAACCTGAGGGATCAATGGGGACTCTATGGGGTTCTATGGGGTGCCCATAGGGATCAGTGGGGCTCTATGGGGTGTCCATAGAGATCGATGGGGTGCCCATAGGGATCAATGGGGCTCTATGGGGTGTCCATAGGGATCAATGGGGTGCCCACAGAGATCAATGGGGCGCCCATAGGGATCAATGAGGCTCTATGGGGTGTCCATAGCGAACAATGGGGTGCCCACAGAGATCAATGGGGCTCTATGGGGTGTCCATAGGGATCAATGGGGTGCCCATAGGGATCAATGAGTTCTATGGGGTGCCCATAGAGATCAATGGGGTGCCCATAGGGATCAATGGGGCTCTATGGGGTGCCCATAGGGATCAATGGGACACCCTTAGGGATCAATGGGGCTCTATGGGGTGTCCATAGCGATCAATGGGGTGCCCATAGGGATCAATGGGGCGCTATGGGGTGTCCATAAGGATCAATGGGGTGCCCACAGGCATCAATGGGGCTCTATGGGGTGTCCATAGGGATCAATGGGGTGCCCTTAGGGATCAATGAGGTTCTATGGGGTGCCCATAGAGATCAATGGGGCTGTATAGGGTGCAGTGGGGGTCAGTTGATTCTATGGGTCCTTATGGGTCCAAGTATGTCTCTATGGACCCTATGGCTCTCAATGTGTCCCAATGGGTCGCTATGGGTCTCTATGGAATCTATGGCTCCCAATGGGTCCCAATGGGTCGCTATGGACCCTATGGGTCCTAATAGGTCGCTATGGTTGTCAATGGGTAGCTATGGGTCCCAATGGGTCGCTATGGGTGTCAATGGGTTGCTATGGGTCCCAATGGGTCGCTATGGGTCCCAATGGGTCTCTATGGATCTTTATGGACTCTATGGCTCCCAATGGGTTTCTATGGACCCTATGGGTCCCAATGGGTTGCTATGGGTGTCAATGGGTAGCTATGGGTCCCAATGGGTCGCTATGGGTGTCAATGGGTTACTATGGGTCCCAATGGGTTGCTAAGGGTCCCAATGGGTCTCTATGGATCTTTATGGACTCTATGGCTCCCAATGGGTCTCTATGGAACCTATGGGTCCCAATGGGTCGCTATGGACCCTATGGGTCCCAATGGGTCGCTATGGCTGTCAATGGGTCGCTATGGGTCTCTATAACTCCCAATGGTCTCTATGGTCCCTATGGGTCCCAATGGGTCGCTACGGGTATCAACGGGTCGCTATGGGTCCCAATGGGTCTCTATGGATCTTTATGGACTCTATGGCTCCCAATGGGTCTCTATGGACCCATTGGGTCCCAATGGGTCGCTATGGGTGTCAACGGGTCGCTACGGGTCCCAATGGGTCTCTATGGATCTTTCTGGACTCTATGGCTCCCAATGGCTCCCAATGGATCTCTATGGCTCCCAATGGATCTCTATGGGTCCCAATGGGTCTCTATGGATCCTTATGGCCTCTATGGCTCCCCATGGGTCTCTCTCTGGACCCTATGGTTGTCAATGGGTTGCTATGGGTCTCTATGGCTCCCTATGGTCTCTATGGACCCTATGGGTCCCAATGGGTCACTATGGCTCCCAATGGATCTCTATGGGTCCCAATGGATCTCTATGGGTCCCAATGGATCTCTATGGGTCCCAATGGATCTCTATGGGTCCCAATGGATCTCTATGGGTCCCAATGGATCTCTATGGGTCCCAATGGATCTCTATGGGTCCCAATGGGTCTCTATGGATCCTTATGGCCTCTATGGCTCCCCATGGGTCTCTCTCTCTGGACCCTATGGGTGGCCGTGGGGCTCAGCTGATGTAGACGCGGTGGAAGTCGTGGGCCCCGAAGGCCGCGTTGCACTTGGGGCACTTGCGCTGCCGGGTCTCGTAGCGGCTCCGCACGCACTCGAAGCAGAAGACGTGGAAGCACTTGGTGAGGACGGCGTCCTTCTTGCGGGCGTTGCAGCAGGGGCAGGTGAGGCGGGCCTGTGGGGGGCGATGGGGGGCGATGGGGGGCGATGGGACTCAATGGGAGTCAATGGGAGTCAATGGGAGTCAATGGGAGTCAATGGGAGTCAATGGAGCTCAATGGGGTCAATGGGGGGTGATGGGGGTCAATGGGGGTCAATGGGTGTCAATGGGAGTCAATGGGGTCAATGGGAGTCAATGGGAGTCAATGGGAGTCAATGGAGCTCAATGGGGTCAATGGGGGGTGATGGGGGTCAATGGGACTCAATGGGAGTCAATGGGAGTCAAGGGGAGTCAATGGAAGTCAAGGGGAGTCAATGGGAGTCAATGGAAGTCAATGGAGCTCAATGGGGTCAATGGGGGGTGATGGGGGTCAATGGGAGTCAATGGGAGTCAATGGGAGTCAAGGGGAGTCAATGGAAGTCAATGGAAGTCAATAGAAGTCAATGGGAGTCAATGGAACTCAATGGGGTCAATGGGGTCAATGGGGGCCGATGGGGGTCAATGGAAGTCAATGGGACTCAATGGAAGTCAATGGGAGTCAATGGATGTCAAGGGGAGTCAATGGAAGTCAATGGAAGTCAATGGAAGTCAATGGAGCTCAATGGGGTCAATGGGGGGTGATGGGGGTCAATGGGAGTCAATGGGAGTCAATGGGAGTCAAGGGGAGTCAACGGAAGTCAATGGAAGTCAATGGAAGTCAATGGGAGTCAATGGAGCTCAATGGGGTCAATGGGGTCAATGGGGGCCGATGGGGGTCAATGGGACTCAATGGGAGTCAATGGGAGTCAAGGGAAGTCAATGGAAGTCAATGGAAGTCAATGGAAGTCAATGGAGATCAATGGGGTCAATGGGGTCAATGGGGGGTGATGGGGGTCAATGGGAGTCAATGGGACTCAATGGAAGTCAATGGGAGTCAATGGATGTCAAGGGGCGTCAATGGAAGTCAATGGAAGTCAATGGGAGTCAATGGAGCTCAATGGGGTCAATGGGGGGTGATGGGGGTCAATGGGAGTCAATGGGACTCAATGGATGTCAAGGGGAGTCAATGGAAGTCAATGGAAGTCAATGGAGCTCAATGGGGTCAATGGGGTCAATGGGGGGCGATGGGGCTCAATGGGGCTCAATGGGTGTCAATGGGGCTCAATGGGTCTCAATGGGGCTCAATGGGGTCAATGGGGCTCAATGGGTGTCAATGGGGCTCAATGGGCTCAATGGGTGTCAATGGGGCTCAATGGGTGTCAATGGGGCTCAATGGGGTCAATGGGGCTCAATGGGGCTCAATAGAGCTCAATGGGGTCAATGGGCTCAATGGGTGTCAATGGGGCTCAATGGGGTCAATGGGTCTCAATGGGTCTCAATGGGTCTCAATGGGTCTCAATGGGGCTCAATGGGGTCAATGGGGCTCAATGGGTGTCAATGGGGCTCAATGGGTCTCAATGGGTCTCAATGGGGCTCAATGGGGCTCAATGGGTCTCAATGGGTCTCAATGGGGCTCAATGGGGTCAATGGGGCTCAATGGGTGTCAATGGGGCTCAATGGGGCTCAATGGAGCTCAATGGGGTCAATGGGCTCAATGGGTGTCAATGGGGGTCAATGGGGTCAATGGGGCTCAATGGGGCTCAATGGGGTCAATGGGGCTCAATGGGAGTCAATGGGGCTCAATGGGGCTCAATGGGCCCCCCATACCCGATATTCCTTGATCTCTTCCTGCAGGATTTGGTCGGCGTCGGCGTAAACCTCGACCTTGCGCTGCTTCTCCAGCTTCCGGCGCAGGCGGGAGAGCTCCTCCTGTGGGGCGGGACCCATAGAGACCCATAGGGACCCCATAGAGACCCATAGAGACCCATAGGGAGCCATAGAGACCCCATAGAGAGCCATAGAGACACATAGGGAGCCATAGAGACCCCATAGAGAGCCATAGAGACCCACAGGGACCCACACATACCCATTAAGACCCCATAGAGACCCCATAGGGACCCATAGAGACCCAATGGAGACCCATAGAAACCAACAGGGACCCATAGCAACCCAAAGAGACCCATAGGGGCCTATAGAGACCCGTAGAGACCCCACAGAGACCGCATAAAGACCCCATAGAGACTCACAGAAACCCTATAGAGACCCATAAGGACCCCATAGTGCCCCATAGGCACCCCATAGAGCCCCATAGACACCCACAGAGGACCATAGGCACCCCACAGTGCCCCATAGACAGCCCATAGACACCCACAGCACCCCACAGACCCCCATAGCACCTCACAGACACCCATAGCGCCCCATAGACACCCCATAGGCACCCACAGAGCCCCATAGGCACCCCATAGGGCCCCATAGACACCCAGAGAGCCCCATAGACCCTCATAGCACCTCATAGACACCCATAGACACCCCACAGGCACCCATAGAGCCCCATAGACCCCCCATAGCACCCATTGGCACCCCGTAACGCCCCATAGCGCCCCATAACCACCCCACAGTGCCCCATAGACCCCCATAGCGCCCCATAGACACCCCATAGAGCCCCAGAGACACCCATAGAGCCCCATAGACACCCACAGAGCCCCATAGAGCCCCACAGACACCCCATAGAGCCCCATAGGCACCCCATAGTGCCCCATAGGCACCCCATAGCGCCCCATAGCCACCCATAGCACCCCATAGACACCCACAGAACCCCACAGACACCCCACAGAGCCTCATAGACACCCCATAGCGCCCCATAGGCACCCCATAGAGCCCCAGAGACACCCACAGAGCCCCATAGCGCCCCATAGACACCCCATAGCGCCCCATAGAGCCCCATAGACACCCCACAGAGCCCCATAGACACCCACAGAGCCCCATAGCGCCCCATAGACACCCCATAGAGCCCCATAGGCACCCCATAGCGCCCCATAGGCACCCCATAGAGCCCCATAGACACCCCATAGAGCCCCATAGACACCCCATAGCGCCCCATAGACACCCCCCAGAGCTCCATAGACACCCCATAGAGCCCCACAGACACCCACAGAGCCCCATAGACACCCACAGAGCCCCATAGCGCCCCATAACCACCCCATAGCGCCCCCACCTGGGCCCTCTTGAGGCTCAGGGACTCTTTCTCCTTGGCAGCCCTGTTCTCGGCGGCGCAGCTCTGCAGCTCCCGCAGCCGGGCCTGGACGTGCTCCCCCTGCGCCCGCAGGTCCTCGGCCAACTGCGCCGCCTCCACCGCCTGGGGACCCATAGGGATGCATTGGGGTCCATAGGGATGCATGGGGACCCATAGGGATGCATTGGGGGCCATAGGGATGCATTGGGGCCATAGGGATGCATTGGGGCCATAGGGATGCATTGGGACCCATAGGGATGCATTGGGACCCATAGGGATGCATAGGGGCCATAGGGATGCATGGGGACCCATAGGGATGCATTGGGGCCATAGGGATGCATTGGGATCCATAGGGATGCATTGGGACTCATAGGGATGCATTGGGGTCCATAGGGATGCATGGGGACCCATAGGGATGCATTGGGGGCCATAGGGATGGAGTGGGGTCCATAGGGATGCATGGGGACCCATAGGGATGCATTGGGGGCCATAGGGATGCATTGGGGACCCATAGGGATGCATTGGGGTCCATAGGGATGCATTGGGGCCATAGGGATGCATTGGGTCCATAGGGATGCATTGGGGACCCATAGGGATGCATTGGGGTCCATAGGGATGCATTGGGGTCATAGGGATGCATTGGGACCCACAGGGATGAATTGGGGTCCATAGTGATGCATTGGGGACCCATAGGGATGCATGGGGACCCATAGGGATGGAGTGGGGGCCATAGGGATGGAGTGGGGTCCATAGGGATGCATTGGGGCCATAGGGATGCATTGGGGCCATAGGGATGCATTGGGATCCATAGGGATGCATTGGGACTCATAGGGATGCATTGGGGTCCATAGGGATGCATGGGGACCCATAGGGATGCATTGGGGGCCATAGGGATGGAGTGGGGTCCATAGGGATGCATTGGGGCCATAGGGATGCATTGGGACTCATAGGCATGCATTGGGGCCATAGGGATGCATTGGGGCCATAGGGATGCATTGGGGTCCAGAGGGATGCATTGGGTCCATAGGGATGCATTGGGGTCCATAGGGATGCATGGGGACCCATAGGGATGCATGGGGACCCATAGGGATGCAGTGGGGTCCATAGGGATGCATTGGGGCCATAGGGATGCATTGGGATCCATAGGGATGCATTGGGACTCATAGGGATGCATTGGGGTCCATAGGGATGCATTGGGGTCCATAGGGATGCATTGGGGGGCCATAGGGATGCATTGGGGTCATAGGAATGCATTGGGGTCCATGGGGATGCATTGGGGTCCATAGGGATGCAGTAGGGTCCATAGGGATGCATTGGGACCCATAGGGATGCAGTGGGGTCCATAGGGATGCATTGGGGTCCATAGGGATGCATTGGGGCCATAGGGATGCATTGGGTCCATAGGGATGCATTGATCCCCATTGACTCCCATTGACTCCCATTGACTCCCATTGACTCCCATTGACCCCCATTGACCCCCATCGCCCCACATCGCCCCACACCTTCCTCTTGTGCAGCTCCAGGCCCTGGCACCGCACCGCCAGCTCCCTCTCCATTCATCCCCATTGATCCCCCATTGACTCCCATTGATCCCCATTGACTCCCATTGATCCCCATTGACTCCCATTGATCCCCATTGACTCCCATTGACTCCCATTGACTCCCATTGATCCCCATTGACTCCCATTGACTCCCATTGACTCCCATTGACCCCCATTGACTCCCATTGACTCCCATTGACTCCCATTGACTCCCATTGACTCCCATCGCCCCACATCGCCCCACACCTTCCTCTTGTGCAGCTCCAGGCCCTGGCACCGCACCGCCAGCCCCCTCTCCATTCATCCCCATTGATCCCCATTGACCCCCATTGACTCCCATTGACTCCCATTGACCCCCATTGACTCCCATTGACCCCCATTGACCCCCATTGACTCCCATTGATCCCCATTGACTCCCATTGACTCCCATTGACTCCCATTGACCCCCATTGACTCCCATTGATCCCCATTGACTCCCATTGATCCCCATTGACTCCCATTGACTCCCATTGACTCCCATTGACCCCCATCGCCCCACATCGCCCACACCTTCCTCTTGTGCAGCTCCAGGCCCTGGCACCGCACCGCCAGCTCCCTCTCCATTCATCCCCATTGATCCCCCATTGACTCCCATTGACCCCCATTGACTCCCATTGACCCCCATTGACTCCCATTGACTCCCATTGACCCCCATGACTCCCATTGACCCCCATTGACTCCCATTGACTCCCATTGACCCCCATTGACTCCCATTGATCCCCATTGACTCCCATTGACTCCCATTGATCCCCATTGACTCCCATTGACTCCCATTGACTCCCATTGATCCCCATTGACTCCCATTGACTCCCATTGACCCCCATCGCCCCACATCGCCCCACACCTTCCTCTTGTGCAGCTCCAGGCCCTGGCACCGCACCGCCAGCTCCCTCTCCATTCATCCCCATTGATCCCCATTGACCCCCATTGACTCCCATTGACTCCCATTGACCCCATTGACTCCCATTGACCCCCATCGCCCCACATCGCCCCACACCTTCCTCTTGTACAGCTCCAGGCCCTGGCACCGCACCGCCAGCTCCCTCTCCATTCATCCCATTGATCCCCCATTGACTCCCATTGACTCCCATTGACTCCCATTGACTCCCATTGACCCCCATTGACTCCCATTGACCCCCATTGCCCCCCATCGCCCCACACCTTCCTCTTGTGCAGCTCCAGGCCCTGGCACCGCACCGCCAGCTCCCTCTCCATTCATCCCCATTGATCCCCCATTGACTCCCATTGACCCCCATTGACTCCCATTGACCCCCATTGACTCCCATTGACTCCCATTGACCCCCATTGACTCCCATTGACCCCCATTGACTCCCATTGACTCCCATTGACCCCCATTGACTCCCATTGATCCCCATTGTCTCCCATTGACTCCCATTGATCCCCATTGACTCCCATTGACTCCCATTGACTCCCATTGACCCCCATTGACTCCCATTGACCCCCATCGCCCCACATCGCCCCACACCTTCCTCTTGTGCAGCTCCAGGCCCTGGCACCGCACCGCCAGCTCCCTCTCCATTCATCCCCATTGATCCCCCATTGACTCCCATTGACTCCCATTGACTCCCATTGACTCCCATTGACCCCATTGACTCCCATTGACCCCCATCGCCCACATCGCCCCACACCTTCCTCTTGTGCAGCTCCAGGCCCTGGCACCGCACCGCCAGCTCCCTCTCCACGCTGCCCAGGCTGCTCTGCAGTGCTCGCTCCTTCTCCTCCAGCTTCTGCACCAGCAGCAGCTGCGCGTCCACCTGTGGGCACAGCGCGCTCCAGACCCACTTGTGGGGCAGCCAGGGCCACTTATGGGGCAGCCATAACTACTTGTGGGGCCAACAGGACCACTTGTGGGGCAGCCAGCACCACTTATGGGGCATCCAGACCCACTTACGGGGCGAGCAGGAGCACTTATCGGGCATCCAGACCCACTTGTGGGGCAATAGGACCACTTATGGGGCACGCAGGAGCACTTATGGGGCGGCCAGACCCACTTATGCGGCGAGCAGGAGCACTTATCGGGCATCCAGAGCCACTTGTGGGGCAGCCAGCCCACTTGTGGGGCAACAGGACCACTTGTGGGGCAGCCAGCACCACTTATGGGGCATCCAGACCCACTTACGGGGCGAGCAGGAGCACTTATCGGGCATCCAGAGCCACTTGTGGGGCAGCCAGGACCACTTGTGGGGCAACAGGACCACTTATGGGGCACGCAGGAGCACTTATGGGGCATCCTTACTCACTTATGGGGCAAGCAGGAGCACTTATCGGGCATCCAGACCCACTTATGGGGCATCCAGACTCACTTATGGGGCAAGCAGGACCACTTATGGGGCAACCAGACTCACTTATGGGCAAGCAGGAGCACTTATCGGGCATCCAGACCCACTTATGGGGCAGCCATAACTACTTGTGGGGCAACAGGACCACTTGTGGGGCAGCCAGCACCACTTATGGGGCATCCAGACCCACTTACGGGGCGAGCAGGAGCACTTATCGGGCATCCAGAGCCACTTGTGGGGCAGCCAGGCCCACTTGTGGGGCAACAGGAGCACTTATGGGGCACGCAGGAGCACTTTTGGGGCATCCAGACCCACTTATGCGGCAAGCAGGAGCACTTATCGGGCATCCAGACCCACTTGTGGGGCAGCCAGGCCCACTTGTGGGGCAACAGGACCACTTGTGGGGCACGCAGGAGCACTTATGGGGCATCCTTACTCACTTATGGGGCAAGCAGGAGCACTTATCGGGCATCCAGACCCACTTGTGGGGCAGCCAGGGCCACTTGTGGGGCAATAGGACCACTTATGGGGCAAGCAGGAGCACTTATGGGGCATCCAGACCCACTTATGGGGCAAGCAGGAGCACTTATCAGGCATCCAGACCCACTTGTGGGCAGCCAGGCCCACTTATGGGGCAACAGGACCACTTGTGGGGCAGCCAGCACCACTTATGGGGCATCCAGACCCACTTACGGGGCGAGCAGGAGCACTTATCGGGCATCCAGAGCCACTTGTGGGGCAGCCAGGCCCACTTGTGGGGCAACAGGAGCACTTATGGGGCACGCAGGAGCACTTATGGGGCATCCAGACCCACTTATGCGGCAAGCAGGAGCACTTATCGGGCATCCAGACCCACTTATGGGGCATCCAGACTCACTTATGGGGCAAGCAGGACCACTTATGGGGCAACCAGACTCACTTATGGGGCAAGCAGGAGCACTTATCGGGCATCCAGACCCACTTATGGGGCAGCCATAACTACTTGTGGGGCAACAGGACCACTTGTGGGGCAGCCAGCACCACTTATGGGGCAACAGGACCACTTATGGGGCACGCAGAGCACTTATCAGGCATCCAGACCCACTTGTGGGGCAGCCAGGCCCACTTGTGGGGCAACAGGAGCACTTATGGGGCACGCAGGAGCACTTATGGGGCAGCCAGACCCACTTATGGGGCAAGCAGACCCACTTATGGGGCAATCAAACCCACTTACGGGGCATCCAGACTCACTTATGAGGCAAGCAGGCCCACTTGTGGGGCAAACAGACTCACTTAAGGGGCAAGCAGGACCACTTATGGGGCAACCAGAACCACTTGTGAGCAACCAGAACCTCTTATGGGGCAACCAGGAGCACTTATGGGGCAACCAGGAGCACTTATGAGGCATCCAGACCCACTTACGGGGCTACCAGAACCACTTGTGAGGCAACCAGAACCTCTTATGGGGCAACCAGAACCTCTTATGGGGCAACCAGGAACACTTATGGGGCAACCAGGACCACTTATGGGGCAACCAGAACCACTTATGGGGCAACCAGAACCACCTGTGAGGCAACCAGAACCTCTTATGGGGCAACCAGTAGCACTTATGGGCATCCAGACCCACTTACGGGGCTACCAGAACCACTTGTGAGGCAACCAGAACCTCTTATGGGGCAACCAGAACCTCTTATGGGGCAACCAGGAACACTTATGGGGCAACCAGGACCACTTATGGGGCAACCAGAACCACTTATGGGGCAACCAGAACCACCTGTGAGGCAACCAGAACCTCTTATGGGGCAACCAGTAGCACTTATGGGGCATCCAGACCCACTTACGGGGCTACCAGAACCACTTGTGAGGCAACCAGAACCTCTTATGGGGCAACCAGAACCTCTTATGGGGCAACCAGGAACACTTATGGGGCAACCAGGACCACTTATGGGGCAACCAGAACCACTTGTGAGGCAACCAGAACCTCTGATGGGGCAACCAGGACCACTTATGGGGCAACCAAGACCACTTATGGGGCAACCAGGACCACTTATGGGGCAACCAGGACCACTTATGGGCATCCAGACCCACTTACGGGGCTACCAGAACCACTTGTGAGGCAACCAGAACCTCTGATGGGGCAACCAGGAGCACTTATGGGGCAACCAGGAGCACTTATGGGGCTACCAGGACCACTTATGGGGCAACCAAGACCACTTATGGGGCAACCAGAACCTCTTATGGGGCAACCAGGACCACTTATGGGGCATCCAGACCCACTTACGGGGCTAGCAGAACCACTTGTGGGGCAACCGGAACATCTTATGTGGCATCCATCCCCACTTATGGCCCCTCCATCCCCACTTATCCCCCCTCCAGCCCCACTTATCCCCCCTCCAGCCCCACTTAGGGGTCCCTCCAGCCCCACTTAGGGGTCCCCCCCCCCCCTGCAGCCCCACGGCGCGCTGCCCCACCTGCGCCTTGAGGGCCAGGACCTGCTCGCCCAGCTCGTCCTTCTCCTCGCGCAGGAGCTTGTGGATCTGGTTGGCCTTGATGCGCTCCGACATGAGCTTGAAGTTGGCGTCGTCCTTCTCGCGCAGCTGCTGCAGGAGCCGTAGGTTCTGCTCCTGCATGTCCTCGAAGGCCTGGCCCGTCACGTCCATCTCCGACAGCAGCGCCTCCTCCTCCTGAGACAGCCAATGGGGAGCCGTTAGCATGGAGACATCGTCATCGACTCAACGGAGACCCAATGACATCGACTCAACATGGAGACATCATCATCGACTCAACGGAGACCCAATGACATCGACTCAACATGGAGCCATCATCATCGACTCATCATGGAGCCATCATCATCGACTCAACATGGAGCCATCGTCATGGAAACAGCATCATCGACTCAATGGAGACCAAACGTCATTGACTCAATATGGACCCATCATCATCGACTCAACATGGAGCCATCATCATTGACTCAACATGCAGCCATCATCATGGAAACAGCATGATCAACTCAACGTAGACCCATCATCATCGACTCAACATGGAGCCATCATCATTGACTCAACATGGACCCATCATCATGGACACATCATCATGTCCTCGAAGGCCTGGCCCGTCACGTCCATCTCCGACAGCAGCGCCTCCTCCTCCTGAGACAGCCAATGGGGAGCCGTTAGCATGGAGACATCGTCATCGACTCAACGGAGACCCAATGACATCGACTCAACATGGAGACATCATCATCGACTCAACGGAGACCCAATGACATCGACTCAACATGGAGCCATCATCATCGACTCATCATGGAGCCATCATCATCGACTCAACATGGAGCCATCGTCATGGAAACAGCATCATCGACTCAATGGAGACCAAACGTCATTGACTCAATATGGACCCATCATCATCGACTCAACATGGAGCCATCATCATTGACTCAACATGCAGCCATCATCATGGAAACAGCATGATCAACTCAACGTAGACCCATCATCATCGACTCAACATGGAGCCATCATCATTGACTCAACATGGACCCATCATCATGGACACATCATCATGTCCTCGAAGGCCTGGCCCGTCACGTCCATCTCCGACAGCAGCGCCTCCTCCTCCTGAGACAGCCAATGGGGAGCCGTTAGCATGGAGACATCGTCATCGACTCAACGGAGACCCAATGACATCGACTCAACATGGAGACATCATCATCGACTCAACGGAGACCCAATGACATCGACTCAACATGGAGCCATCATCATTGACTCAACATGGACCCATCATCATGGACCCATCATCATGTCCTCGAAGGCCTGGCCCGTCACGTCCATCTCCGACAGCAGCGCCTCCTCCTCCTGAGACAGCCAATGGGGAGCCGTTAGCATGGAGACATCGTCATGGAGGCATCGTCAACGAATGAACATAGAGACATCGTCATCGACTCAACACGGAGCCATCGTCATGGAAACAGCATCATCGACTCAACGGAGACCCAATGACATCGACTCAACATGGAGCCATCATTATCGACTCAACGGAGACCCAACGTCATTGACTCAACATGGAGCCATCATCATCGACTCAACATGGAGCCATCATCATGGAAACAGCATCATCGACTCAATGGAGACCCAATGACATCGACTCAACATGGAGCCATCATCATCGACTCAACGGAGACCCAACGTCATTGACTCAACATAGAGCCATCATCATCGACTCAACATGGAGCCATCATCATCAACTCAACATGGAGCCATCATCATGGAGCCATCATCATCGACTCAACATGGAGCCATCATCATCGACTCAACATGGAGCCATCATCATTGACTCAACATGGACCCATCATCATGGAGCCATCATCATTGACTCAACATGGACCCATCATCATCGACTCAACATGGAGCCATCATCTTTGACTCAACATGCAGCCATCATCATGGAAACAGCATGATCAACTCAACGTAGACCCATCATCATCGACTCAACATGGACCCATCATCATTGACTCAACATGGACCCATCATCATGGACCCATCATCATGTCCTCGAAGGCCTGGCCCGTCACGTCCATCTCCGACAGCAGCGCCTCCTCCTCCTGAGACAGCCAATGGGGAGCCGTTAGCATGGAGACATCGTCATGGAGGCATCGTCAACGAATAAACATAGAGACATCGTCATCGACTCAACACGGAGCCATTGTCATGGAAACAGCATCATCGACTCAACGGAGACCCAATGACATCGACTCAACATGGAGCCATCATCATCGACTCAACATGGACCCATCATCATGGAGCCATCATCATCGACTCAACGTAGACCCATCATCATCGACTCAACGTAGACCCATCATCATGGACCCATCATCGTTGACTCAACGTAGACCCATCATCATGGACCCATCGTCATCGCCTCAACGTAGACCCATCATCATGGACCCATCATCATCAACTCAACGTAGATCCATCATCACCGACCCATCGTAGACCCATCATCATCGACTCAACATGGACCCATCATCATGGAGCCATCATCATTGACTCAACGTAGACCCATCATCATTGACTCAACGTAGACCCATCATCATGGACCCATCATCGTTGACTCAACGTAGACCCATCATCATGGACCCATCATCATCGCCTCAACGTAGACCCATCATCATGGACCCATTATCATCGACTCAACGTAGACCCATCATCATTGACTCAACGTAGACCCATCATCATCGACTCAACGTAGACCCATCATCATGGAGCCATCATCATCAACTCAACGTAGATCCATCATCACCGACCCATTGTAGACCCATCATCATCGACTCAACGTGGACCCATCATCATCAACTCAACGTAGACCCATCATCATGGACCAATCATCATCGACTCAACGTAGACCCATCATCATCGACTCAACGTAGACCCATCATCATGGACCCATCATCGTTGACTGAACGTAGACCCATCACCATGGACCCATCATCATCAACTCAACGTAGATCCATCATCACCGACCCATCGTAGACCCATCATCATCGACTCAACATAGACCCATCATCATCAACTCAACGTAGACCCATCATCATGGACCCATCATCATCGCCTCAACGTAGACCCCTCATCATGGACCCATCATCATCGACTCAACGTAGACCCATCATCATTGACTCAACGTAGACCCATCATCATGGACCCATCATCATCGACTCAACGTAGACCCATCATCATGGACCCATCATCATCGACTCAACGTAGACCCATCATCATCGCCTCAACGTAGACCCATCACCATGAACCCATCATCATCGCCTCAACGTAGACCCATCATCACCGACCCATCATCACCGACCCATCGTACACCCATCACGACCCCAACACCCTCCCTCTTCCGCAACCCCCCCCCTACACCCTCTTCCCATTGGCCGCCTCGGGCTCCGCCCACGCCCTTATAAGGCCGCGCTACCTGCTTGGTGGCCGCCAGGCGGCGCTGCAGCAGCTCGATGTGCTCCTCGCCCGCCCGCAGCCGCCTCAGCGCCTCCTCGTCCGCCAGCTTCTTGCTCTCGCGCCGCTCGCGCTCCTCCAGCTCCCGCGCCCGCGCCCGCAGCTCCTCCGCCTGCCGTGACGTCAGCCGTGACGTCAGCCGTGACGTCATGGCCGCGGGAAGGAAGGGGGGGAGGGGGGGGTGATGGGGGTGGTGGGGGGGGGTTAGAGTGTGTTAGCGTGTGTTAGTGTGTTGGCGTGTGTTAGCCTGTATTGTGTTAGCGTGTGTTAGCGTGTATTAATGTGTTAGTGTGTGTTAGCGTGTATTAATGTGTTAAGAGTGTGTGTTAGTGTGTATTAATGTGTTAGCGTGTGTTAGCGTGTATTAATGTGTTGGTGTGTGTTAGCGGGTATTAATGTGTTAGCGTGTGTTAGCGTGTATTAATGTGTTGGCGTGTGTTAGCATGCATTAATGTGTTGGCGTGTGTTAGCGTGTGTTAATGTGTTAGCGTGTGTTAATGTGTTGGTGTGTGTTAGCATGTATTAATGTGTTGGCGTGTATTCATGCATTGGCATGTATTAATGTGTTTGTATGCATTAATGTGTTAGTGTGTGTTAGCGTGTGTTAATGTGTTAGCGTGTGTTAGCATGTATTAATGTGTTAGCATGTGTTAGCATGTATTAATGTGTTAGCATGTATTAATGTGTTAGCATGTATTAATGTGTTGGCATGAATTAGCATGTATTAATGTGTTAGAGTGTGTTAGCGTGTATTAATGTGTTGGCGTGTGTTAGCATGTATTAATGTGTTAGCGTGTGTTAGCGTGTATTAATGTGTTGGCATGTGCTAGCATGTATTAATGTGTTGGAGTGTGTTAACATGTATTAATGTGTTAGCATGTATTAATGTGTTAGCGTGTGCTAATATGTATTAATGTGTTGGCGTTTATTAATGTGTTGGCATGTATGAATGTGTTAGCATGTATTAATGCGTTGGCACATATTCATGTGTTGGCATGTATTTATGCCTTAGCATGTATTAAAGCATGTTAGCATGTGTGTGTTAACAAGTGCTAGTGTGTGTTAACATGTGCTACCATGCGTTAACATGTGCTAGCGTGCGTTAACATGTGCTAGCGCGTTAACATATGCGTGTGTTAACATGTGCTAGCGTGCTAATGTGTGCTAGCGTGTTAACATGTCCTAGCATGTGTTAACATGCGCTAGCTAGTTAACATGTGCTAGCGTGTGTTAACATGCGCTAGCGTGTGTTAACATGTGCTCGTGTGTGTTAACGTGTGCTAACGTGTGCTCGCGTGTGTTAACGTGTGCTAGCGCGTGTTAACATATGCTAGCGCATGGAACATGTTAGCGTGCCTAACACGCGTTACCAGAGATTAAAGCGTTTTAGCGCACGTTAACACGCGTTAACATGTATTAACACGCCTTAACACGGGTGGACACGCGGTTGCGCGTGTCAACACAACGCCTGTTCACGCGGATTTAAGGCACGCCCACGGGGAGTCACGCGTGTTCCCGTGTGCTTAGCGTGTGTTAACATGTGCTTAGCGTGCGCACACGCGTGTTCACGCGTGTCGGGCCCCCACCTCGGCCTTGCTCTTCCTCTCGGCCGCCATCAGCTGCACTTTGTCCCTCTGCTCCTTGGGCGCTGACTTGTACATGTCCAGGAGCAGCTTCATCTCCTTCTGGCTCTCCTGAGCCTTCCTGTGCCCCATAGAGACCCATGGAGACCCATTGGAGACCCATAGGGACCCATAGAGAACCATAGGGACCCACAGAGACCCCATAGAGACCCATAGAGACCCCATAGAGACCCATAGACACCCACAGAGAGCCATAGAGACCCATAGAGATCCATGGAGACCCCATGGAGACCCATAGGGACCCATAGAGACCCACAGAAACCCCATAGGGACCCATACAGACCCCACAGAGACCCATGGAGACCACATAGAGACCCATAGAGACCCCACAGAGACTCCATAAACACCCCATAGAGGCACACAGAGACCCCACAGAGACCCCATGGAGACGCATAGACACCCAATAGAGACCCATAGAGACCCATAGAAACCCATAGAGACCCATAGAGACCCCATAGGGACACACAGAGACCCATAGAGACCTCATAGAGACCCATAGAGACCCCACAGAGACCCATAGAGACTCCATAAACACCCCATAGAGACACACAGAGACCCCACAGACACCCCATAGAGACACATAGACACCCAATAGAGACCCATAGAGACCCATAGAGACCCCACAGAGACCCATAGAGACACCATAGGGACTCACAGAGACCCAGAGACCTCATAGAGACCCATAGAGACCCCACAGAGACCCATAGAGACTCCATAAACACCCCATAGAGACACACAGAGACCTCACAGACACCCCATAGAGACACATAGACACCCAATAGAGACCCATAGAGACCTCACAGAGACCCATAGAGACCCCATAGAGACCCATAGAGACCCAGAGACCTCATAGGGAGCCATAGACACTCACAGAGACCCCATAAACACCCCATAGAGACACAGAGACCCCACAGAGACCCCATAGAGATGCACAGACACCCAATAGAGACCCATAGAGACCCCATAGAGACCCATAGAGACCCCATAGAGACCCATAGAGACCCCACAGGGACGCACAGAGACCCATAGAGACCTCATAGAGAGCCACAGACACCCCCAGAGACCCCATAAACACCCCATAGAGACACACAGAGACCCCACAGAGACGCATAGACACCCAATAGAGACCCATAGAGACCCATAGAGACCCACAGAGACTCCATAGAACCCCCAGAGACTCATAGAGACCCCATAGAGCCCCATAGACCCCCATAGATACCCCATAGTGCGCCAGAGACACCCATAGCCCCCCCCGAGCACCATAGATACCCCATAGCACTCCCACAGACCCCCACAGACCCCAATAGCCCCCCATAGCCATCCCATAGACACCCATAGACCCCCATAGCTACCCCATAGCCCTCCCACAGACCCCAATAGCCCCTCATAGACACCCATAGACCCCCATAGCTACCCCATATATACCCCATAGCCTGCCCACAGACCCCAATAGCCCCCCATAGCCATCCCATAGACAGCCATAGATAACCCATAGCGCCCCACAGACCCCCACAGACACCCCATAGACCCCCCATAGCCCTCCCAGACACCCAAATCACCCTATAGACACCCCATAGACCCCAATAGCCCCCCATAGACACTCATAGATACCCCATAACGCCCCATAGACCCCCACAGACACCCCACAGACCCCACACAGACCCCCCATAGCCATCCCAGACACCCATAGCACCCCATAGACACCCCAGAGACCCCCATAGACACCCCACAGCCCCCCATAGACACCCCATAGACACCCATAGACCCCCACAGATACCCCATAACGCCCCATAGACCCCCACAGACACCCCACAGAACCCACATAGACCCCCATAGCCCCTCCATAGACACCCCATAGACCCCCCATAGCACCCCATAAACCCGGCATACCCCCCCATAGCCACCCCATAAACCCCCATAGCCCCCCCATAGCACCCCATAGCTCCCCCATAGAACCCCATAAACCCCCCATAGCCCCCCATAGACACCCCATAGATCCCCATAGCCCCCCCATAGCACCCCATAGACCCCCACAGCCCCACATAGTGCCCCATAGCCCCCCCATAGCCCCCCCTAGACACCCCAAAGCCCCCCATAGACACCCCATAGCCCCCCCAGACACCCCATAGCCCCCATAGACACCCCATAGATCCCCATAGCCCCCCATAGCACCCCATAGACCCCCACAGCCCCACATAGTGCCCCATAGCCCCCCATAGCCCCCCCTAGACACCCCAAAGCCCCCCACAGACACCCCATAGCCCCTCATAGACACCCCATAGCCCCCCACAGACACCCCATACCCCTCATAGACACCCCCATAGCCCGCCATAGACACCCCATAGCCCCCCATAGACACCCCAAAGCCCCCCATAGACACCCCATAGCCCCCCATAGACACCCCATAGCTCCCCATAGACACCCCATAGCCCCCCATAGACACCCCAAAGCCCCCCATAGACACCCCATAGCCTTCCATAGACACCCCAAAGCCCCCATAGACACCCCATAGCCCCCCATAGACACCCCATAGACCCCCATAGTGCCCCATAGCCCCCCCATAGCCCCCCTAGACACCCCAAAGCCCCCCATAGACACCCCATAGCCCCCCATAGACACCCCATAGCCCCCCATAGCACCCCATAAATCCCATAGAGCCCCATAGCCCCCCCATAGACACCCCATAGCCCCCCACAGACACCCCCATAGACCCCCCATAGTGCCCCATAGCCCCCCCATAGCCCCCCATAGACACCCCATAGCCCCCATAGACACCCCAAAGCCCCCATAGCCCACCCCATAGCGCCCCATAGCCACCCCATAGCCCCCCCATCCTCTCTTGAGCTCCCCCCGCAGTTGCTTGAGCAGCTCCGAATCCTTTTTCTTGGCCTCCTCGGGGGTGGGGGCGGGGCCTCCCCCTCCCCCCGCCCCTCCCCCTCCCCCCTTGGCCCTCGGCCGCTCCCGGGAAGCTCCGGGGCCGGGATTGGGAGGAGGAGGGGGGAGGGGGGAGGGGCCCGGGGAGGATGGGAACGGGGGGGGGAGGGGGCAGGGGGGTTCCTTGGCGCGGGGTGGGGGAGGGGTGGCGGGGGCGGGGCTCGGAAGCTCCTCCTCCTCCCCCCCACCCCGCCGAGGGGGCGGGGCCGCCTCCTCCCGCTTGGGCTCCGGGGCCACGCCCCCTCCGTCCTCCTCCTTCAAAGGGGCGGGGCCCGGAGGGGGGGGAGGGGCGGGGGCAGCAGCCCCCGAGGGGGGGGGGAGGGGCGGAGGTGGGGGGGGCTCGTCCTGGGAAGAAGGGGTGGGGGGGGTGGGGGTGGGGGAGGGGTGGGCGGGGGAGGAGGGGGAGGGGCGATGGGGGAAGGGGGAGGGGCTCCGGTGGCCTGGAGGCGGAGCTAAAGGAGAAAGGGGGGGGGTGGGGTCAATGATGGCATTGCCCCTTTAAGAGACGGGACCACACCCCCTTTTAGCCCCGCCCACAACGAGGCCCTTTTAAGGATCCCTCTGTGGGCCCACAGGCCCTCGTTCACGCCCATTGCCCTTTTAAGGCCAGGCAAACCCATTGGTGGGGAGAGGGGACTGCCTCACCCCCCTTAAAAGGGCAACAGCCAATCAGAGGAGGGCAGGCCCCGCCCATTCACCAATGCTGGCCAGCCCTCCCTTAGCTTACCCCCACCTCTTAAAGGGGCTACACCCCTTTGTGGGTGGAACCCACATGCACCCCCCCCTTAAAAGGGCTATGCATCTTTATGGGTGGGACCCACCACTACACCCATAACCTTGTAGTATACCCATTGCCCCCTTAAAGGGGCAACACACTGCTACTGGTGGGCCCCACCGGTACACCCATTGCATTACAGCATATGCATAGCCCCCTTAAAAGGGCTGCATGCTGCTATAGGTGGGCCCCACAAGTGTCCCAGTGCTTTCCCTTAAAGGGGCTACACATCCTGGTGGATGGGAGCCACCATACCTCAGCTCCTTAAAGGGGTCACACACTGCTAGTGGTGGTCCCCACCCGTGTACCCACTCTCAGTCCCTTAAACGGCCCATGCCATCCATGCTCTTAAAGGGGCAAGGCCACCTATTGCCTTAAAGGGGCAATTCCACCCATTGCCTTAAAGGGGCAATGCCGTTCATTCCCTTAAAGGGGCAATCCCACATATTGCCTTGACGGGGCAACCCCACCCATTCCCTTAAAGGGGCAACACCACTCATGCGCTTAACGGGGCAACAGCACCCATTCCCTTAAAGGGACATCACCACCCAATCCCTTAAAGGGGCAACCCACCCCTGCCCTTAAAGGGGCAACGCCACTTGTTCCCTTAAAAGGGTGCCTCCCATTGCCTTATAAGGGCACCACCACCCATTACCTTAAAGGGGAACACCATCCATTCTGTTAAAGGGGCAATGCCACCCATTCTATTAAAAGGGCAATGCCACCAATTCTATTAAAGGGGCAACGCCACCCATTGAAGGGGCAACGCCACCCATTCTCTTAAAGGGGCAACACCACCCATGCCCTTAAAGGGGCAACGCCACCCATTCTCTTAAAGAGGCAACAGCACCCATGCCCTTAAAGGGGCAACACCACCCATGCCCTTAAAGGGGCAACGCCACCCCGAAGCTCCTCCCACCTTGTTGATCTCGGCCTGCACCTCCCGCAGCTTCCTCTTGTAGCGCTGGACATCGCCCTTGAGCTGGTGGTTGTGGTTCTGGAGGCTGCTGATGAGGTGGCGCATCTCCCTATTGATGGGGCCTGGGGGGGGGGGATGACAGCGGGGTTATGGGGGGGCTCTATGGGTCCCTATGGGGCTCTATGGCTCTTTAAGGGACTCTATAAGTCTCTATGGTCACCATGGGTTGCTATATTCCCTATAGGTTGCTATGGGTCTCTATGGTTTCAATGAGTTTTATGGTTTCTATGGGTCTCTATGGGTCACTATGGCGCTCAATGGGTCCTCATGTGTCTCTATGGTCTCTCTGATGCTCTATGGTGTCTATGGTTCTCAATAGGTCTCTATGGTCACTATGGGTCTCTATGGCTGTCAATGGGTCTCTATGGGTCTCAATGGGTCTCTATGGTCTCTATGGGTCCCTATAGTTTCTATAGTCTCAGTGGGTCCCTATGCCTCTCAGGAGTCCGTATGTGTCCCTATGGCTCTCAATGGGTCTCTATGGTCTCAATGGATCCCTATGGGTCTCAATGGGTCCCTATGGTCTCAATGGGTCCCTATGGTTTCAATGGATCCCTATGGTCTCAATGGGTCCCTACGGTCTCAATGGGCCCCTATGGATCCCTATGGGTCTCAACGGGTCTCTATGGCTCTCAATGGGGCCCTATGGCCCTCTATGGGCCCCTATGGCTCTCAATGGGGTCTACGTGCTGAGTCCCTATGGCTCTCAATGAACCCCTATGGCTCCCAATGAGTCTCCATGGGTCCCTATGGGTCTCCCTATGGGTCGGGATGTGGGTCGCTCACCAGCCTGCTCGTTGGCGGCCAGGTTCTGCTCGAACTCGATGCGCAGCATCTCGTACTCCTTGCGCACCTGGGCCAGGGTGTCCTCCAACTGGATGACCTCGGTGCGCAGGCGCTTCTGCACCCCCAGCTCGTCGCTCTGGGGCACGGGGTTGGGGTGGGGGGACACACACATCGATGTGAGATATGGGGGGGGACACCCACCCCCCCAATGGGCACCCAATGGGTATCAACGGCACCCAATGGACTCAATGGGCATCGATCGACTCAATGGGAGCCCAATGGGCACCAATCGACTCAATGGGCACCCAATGGGCACCCAATGGACTCAATGGGCACCGATTGACTCAATGGGCACCCAATGGGCACCGATCGACTCAATGGGAACTCAATGGGCACCAATCGACTCAATGGGACCCCAATGGGCACCCAATGGACTCAATAGACCCAATGGGCACCAATCGACTCAATGGGCATCAATGGGCACCCAATGGACCCAATGGGCACCAATCGACTCAATGGGAACTCAATGGGCACCCAATGGACTCAAACGGACCCAACGGGCACCAATCGACTCAATGGGCATCAATGGGCACCCAGTGGGCACCAATGGCACCCAATGGGCACCAATCGACTCAATGGGCACCAATCGACTCAATGGGCACCAATGGGCACCCAAGGGACTCAATGGGACCCCAATGGGCACCCAATGGACTCAATGGACCCAATGGGCACCAATCGACTCAATGGGCAGCAATGGGCATCAATGGGCACCCAATGGGCACCAATCGACTCAATGGGAACTCAATGGGCACCCAATGGACTCAAATGGACCCAATGGGCACCAATCGACTCAATGGGCATCAGTGGGCACCCAATGGGAACCAATCAACTCAATGGGCACCAATAGACTCAATGGGCATCAATGGGCACCCAATGGGCACCAATGGCACCCAATGGGCATCAATCGACTCAATGGGCATCAATGGACACCCATTGGGCACCAATCGACTCAATGGGCACCAATCGACTCAATGGGCATCAATGGGCACCCAATGGGCACCAATCGACTCAATGGGCACCCAATGGGCACCAATCGACTCAATGGGCACCCAATGGGCACCAATCGACTCAATGGGCATCAATGGGCACCCAATGGGCACCAATGGCACCCAATGGGCACCAATCGACTCAATGGGCACCAATCGACTCAATGGGCACCAATGGCACCCATTGGGCACCAATGGCACCCAATGGGCACCAATCGACTCAATGGGCACCAACGGCACCCAATGGGCACCAATCGACTCCATGGGCATCAATGGGCACCCATTGGGCACCAATCAACTCAATGGGCATCAATGGGCACCCAATGGGCACCAATGGCACCCAATGGGCACCAATCGACTCAATGGGCATCAATGGGCACCCAATGGGCACCAATCGACTCAATGGGCATCAATGGACACCCATTGGGCACCAATCGACTCAATGGGCACCAATCGACTCAATGGGCATCAATGGGCACCCAAGGGACTCAATGGGACCCCAATGGGCACCCAATGGACTCAATGGACCCAATGGGCACCAATCGACTCAATGGGCAGCAATGGGCACCCAATGGACCCAATGGGCACCAATCGACTCAATGGGAACTCAATGGGCACCCAATGGACTCAAACGGACCCAATGGGCACCAATCGACTCAATGGGCATCAGTGGGCACCCAATGGGAACCAATCAACTCAATGGGCACCAATAGACTCAATGGGCATCAATGGGCACCCAATGGGCACCAATGGCACCCAATGGGCATCAATCGACTCAATGGGCATCAATGGACACCCACTGGGCACCAATCGACTCAATGGGCACCAATCGACTCAATGGGCATCAATGGGCACCCAATGGGCACCAATCGACTCAATGGGCACCCAATGGGCACCAATCGACTCAATGGGCACCCAATGGGCACCAATCGACTCAATGGGCATCAATGGGCACCCAATGGGCACCAATCGACTCAATGGGCACCAATGGCACCCATTGGGCACCAATGGCACCCAATGGGCACCAATCGACTCAATGGGCACCAATGGCACCCAATGGGCACCAATCGACTCAATGGGCACCAATGGGACCCAATGGGCACCAATCGACTCAATGGGCACCAATGGGAACCCATTGGGCACCAATCGACTCAATGGGTATCAATGGGCACCCAATGGGCACCAATCGACTCAATGGGCATCAATGGGCACCCAATGGGCATCAATCGACTCAATGGGCATCAATGGGCACCCAATGGGCATCAATCGACTCAATGGGCATCAATGGGCACCCAATGGCACAAATGGCCCCCAATGGACTCAATGGCCCCCAACAGACTCAATGCCCCCCCAGTGGACTCACCGACCCCCAGCAGACTCAATGGCCCCCAATGGACTCAATGCCCCCCAATGGACTCAACAACCCCCCAACCGACTCAATGGCCCCCAATGGTCCCCAATGGACTCAATGGTCCCCAATGGACTCAATGGACACAAAGGGCCCCCAATGGACCCAAGAGGACCCCAATGGACTCAACGGCCCCCAATGGCCCCCAACGGACTCAACGCCCCCCCAATGGACTCAATGCCCCCCAATGGACTCAACGACCCTCAACAGACCCAACGGCCCCCAACGGACTCAATGGCACCCAACAGACTCAATGCCTCCCCAACGGACTCAATGCCCCCCCAATGGACACAATGGCCCCCAATGGACTCAATGGACACAAAGGGCCCCCAATGGACCCAAGAGGACCCCAATGGACTCAACGGCCCCCAATGGCCCCAACGGACTCAACGCCCCCCCAATGGACTCAACGACCCCCAACAGACTCAATGGCCCCCAATGGACTCAATGCCCCCCCAATGGACTCAATAACCCCCCAACCGACTCAATGGCCCCCAATGGTCCCCAATGGACTCAATGGTCCCCAATGGCCCCCAATAGACTCAATGGACACAAAGGGCCCCCAATGGACCCAAGAGGACCCCAATGGACTCAATGGTCCCCAATGGCCCCCAACGGACTCAATGGCCCCCCAACGGACTCAACGACCCTCAACAGACCCAACGGCCCCCAACGGACTCAACGGCCCCCCAATGGACTCAACGACCCCCAACAGACTCAATGGCCCCCAATGGACTCAATGCCCCCCCAATGGACTCAACAACCCCCCAACCGACTCAATGGCCCCCAATGGTCCCCAATGGACTCAATGGTCCCCAATGGACTCAATGGACACAAAGGGCCCCCAATGGACCCAAGAGGACCCCAATGGACTCAACGGCCCCCAATGGCCCCCAACGGACTCAACGGCCCCCCAATGGACTCAATGCCCCCCAACGGACTCAACGACCCTCAACAGACCCAACGGCCCCCAACGGACTCAATGGCACCCAACAGACTCAATGCCTCCCCAACGGACTCAATGCCCCCCCAATGGACACAATGGCCCCCAATGGACTCAATGGACACAAAGGGCCCCCAATGGACCCAAGAGGACCCCAATGGACTCAACGGTCCCCAACGGCCCCCAACGGACTCAACGGCCCCCCAATGGATTCAATGACCCCCAACGGACTCAACGGCCCCCAACGGACTCAACGGCCCCCCAATGGACTCAACGACCCCCAACAGACTCAATGGCCCCCAATGGTCCCCAATGGCCCCCAACGGACTCAATGGACACAAATGGCCCCCAATGGACCCAAGAGGACCCTAATGGGCACTAATGGCTCCATGGACTCATGGGACCCCAATGGACTCAATGGACACAAAGGCCCCCAATGGACCCAAGAGGACCCCAATGGACTCAATGGTCCCCAACGGCCCCCAACGGACTCAACGGCCCCCCAATGGATTCAATGACCCTCAACAGACCCAACGGCCCCCAACGGACTCAACGGCCCCCAACGGCCTCAACAGCCCCCCAAGTGGGACCCACCTCCATGTGCTCGATGTGCGGAGGTGGCTGTTCTTGGTGGTGAGGAGGAGGGCTCGGGCCTCGTCCAGCTGGGTCTTCACCTGCAGGCTCTCGTGGTAGAGCAGCGAGAACTGGGACTGGAGCACCTTGTACTCCAGCGTCTCCTTGACGGCCTCCTCGGGCAGCGAGCGCAGCGCCACCTGCGGGACACGCGTGGGACACGCGTGGGACACGCGTGGGACACGCGTGGGACACGCATACGGGGTGCGTGGTCGTGGGTGGTCATAGGTGTTGCGTGTTCATATGTGTTGCATGTTCATACGTGTGTGTTACACGCGTGTTCAGGTGTTACGCGTCGTGTTACACGTTACACGCGTGCTCGTACGCATGAGTTACCGATGCGTTAACGTGTGTTCGTGTTGCGTATGTTACAGGTGCGTTACATGCATCCTCGTGTTGCATACGTGTATTGCATGTTACATACATGAAACGCGTTACATTTTACCTGCGCGTTCCTATGTGTTACGGGTGTGCGCATGTGAAGCGTGTTCATGTGTTTGTGTTATATGTGCGTTCATGTGTTATGCATTGCGTATTACATGTTACACGCGTGCTTACAAGCATGTTATATGATTTACCGATGTGTTGTGTGTTCATGTTACAGATGTGTTATGTGTGTCCTCACGTGTTACATACATGTGCGTTCATATGTATTACATGTTACATGCGTGTAACGCGTTACATTTTACCTGCGCGTTCCTACGTGTTACGGGTGTGCGTATGTGAAGCATGTTCATATGTGTTGCATGTTCATACATGTTTGTGTTACATGTGTGTTCATATATGTCACACGCATGTTATGCATCGCATGTTACCGATGTTGTATGTGGGCTCATATGTATGACATGTTACATGCATTACAGATGTGTTAAGGTGTGTTTGTAATTATGTATGTTAGAGACAGGTTATATGCATCCTCATGTGTTGCATACATATGTGTTCATATGTATTACATGTTACATACATGTAACGCGTTACATTTCACCTGCACGTTCCTACGTGTTACGGGTGTGCGAAGGTGATGCGTGTTCATACGTGTTGCATGTTCATACGTGTTGCACGTTCATAGGTGTTTGTGTTACACACGTGATCATGTGTTATGCATCACGTTACACATCTGCCCCATTACCTCCTTTATCCCCATTACCTCCATTACCCCCATCACCCCCATTAACCCATCACCCCATTGACCCCCATTACCCCATTGACCCCCATTACCCCCATCACCCCCATTACCCCATTGACCCCCATTACCCCCATCACCCCATTAACCCCATCACCCCATTACCCCCATCACCCCCATTACCCCATTGACCCCCATTGCCCCCATCACCCCCATTACCCCCATCACCCCATTGACCCCCATTACACCCATCACCCCATTACCCCCATCACCCCCATTACCCCATTGACCCCCATTACCCCCATCACCCCATTACCCCCATCACCCCATTACCCCCATCACCCCCATCACCCCATTACCCCCATCACCCCATTGACCCCCATTACCCCATCACCCCCATTACCCCATTACCCCCATCACCCCATTGACCCCCATCACCCCATTGACCCCCATCACCCCCATTACCTTGAGGCGCTCGTGCCCCCTCACGGCCTGCTGCAGCTCCTGCTGCAGCTTCTCCAGCTCGGCCATGCGGCTGTTGGCCAGCTCCTGGTTCCCCTCCAGCTCCGCGTTCAGCATCTCAAACTGCCCCATAACCAGGGGGTCACCCCATAGCACTGACCCCCATTGCCCCCCCATAACCCCCCCATTACACCCATTGCCCCCCATTACCCCCCATTGCCCCCCATTACACCCATTGCCCCCCATTACACCCATTGCCCCCCATTGCACCCCGTTGCCCCCCTCCCACCCAGCCCCATAGATTCCCCCCCCCCATACCTTTTGCATGCTGAGGGTGATTTGTCCCCCCTGGAAGCCTCCGGAGCTGGCAGAGCCATAGGAGCCGGAGGTCAGCTGGGGACAGTGGGGAGATGGGGGTCAATGGGGGTAATGGGGTTAATGGGGGTAATGGGGTTAATGAGGGGAATGGGGTAATGGGGGGGTAAGGGATTCAATGGGGAGCAATGGGGTCAATGGGGGGGAATGGGGTCAATGGGGGTCAATGGAGGTAATGGGGGGCAATGGGGAGCAATGGGGAGCAATGGGGCAATGGGCAACACAATGGTTGCTATGGCAACGCAATGGATGCTATGGGGACGCAATGGTTGCTATGGGGACGCAATGGTTGCTATGGCAATGCAATGGATGCTATGGGGACGCAATGGTTGCTATGGTGATGCAATGGATGCTATGGGGACGCAATGGTTGCTATGGGGACGCAATGGATGCTATGGGGACGCAATGGTTGCTATGGGGACGCAATGGATGCTATGGGGCCGCAATGGATGCTATGGGGAATGCAATGGTTGCTATGGCGACGCCATGGTTGCTATGGGGACGCAATGGATGCTATGGGGACGCAATGGTTGCTATGGAGACGCAATGGTTGCTATGGCGACACAATGGATGCTATGGGGACGCAATGGTTATTATGGGGACGCAATGGATGCTATGGTGATGCAATAGTTGCTATGGCAACACAATGGATGCTATGGGGACGCAATGGTTGCGATGGGGACGCAATGGTTGCTATGGGGATGCAATGGTTGCTATGGGGACGCAATGGATGCTATGGGGATGCAATGGGTGCTATGGCAACACAATGGCTGCTATGGTGATGAATCGGTTGCTATGGTAACACAACGGACTCGATGCTGATGCAATGGTCGCTATGGTAACGAAACGGAGGCTATAGTGACACAATGGTTGCTATGGTGACGCAATAGATGCTACAGGGATTCAATGGATGCTATGGGGACGCAATGGTTGCTATGGGAACACGTTGCTATGACAATACATTGGATGCTATGTGGTTATGCAGGCACAACGGTTGCTATGGCAACACAATGGATGCTATGGGGAACGCAACAGTTGCTATGGTAACGCAGTAGATGCTATGGGGATTTAACGGTTGCTATGGTGACACAATGGATGCTATCGGGATAGTGGTTGCTATGGTGATGCAATGGAGGCTATGGGGATGCAGTAGTTGTTACGGTGACCCAATGGTTGTTATGGTGATGCAATGGATGCTATATGGATGCAATGGTTGCTATGGCAACACAATGGATGCTATGAGGATGCTGCAGTTGCTGTGTGGACACAACGGTTGCTATGGGGACACAATGGCTCCTAAGCGGAAACAATGGTTGCTATGGCGATGCAATGGTTGCTATGGTGATGCAGTGGTTGCTATGGTGATGCAGTGGTTGCTATGGTGATGCAATGGTTGCTATGGTAACACTATGGTTGCTATGGGGATGCAATGGTGGCTATAGTGATGCAACAGATGCTATAGGGATGCAATGGTTGCTATGGTAACACAATGGATGATACGGAGATGCAATGGTGACCATGGTGACGCAATGGATGCTACGGGGACGCAATGGTTGTTATGGGGACACAATGGTTGCTATGGGACACAATGGTTGCTATGGTGACACGATGGCTGCTATGAGGACTAGTGGTTGCTACGGGGACCCAATGGTTGCTATGGCGACACAATGGCTGCTATAGGGAGCCAATGCTTGCTATGGGGCTGCAATGGATGCTATGGGGATGCAATTGTTGCTATGGTGATGCAATGGTTGCTATGGTGATGCAATGGTTGCTATGGTAACACATCGGAAGCTACGGTGATGCAATGGTGGCTATGGCAACGCAATGGATGCTATAGGGATGCAATGCTTGCTATAGGGATGCAACGCTTGCTATAGGGCTGCAATGGATGCCATGGGGACGCAATGGTTGCTATGGTGATGCAATGGTTGCTATGGTAACACAATGGATGCTATAGGGATGCAATGCTTGCTATGGGGCCGCAATGGATGCTATGGTGATGCAATGGTTGCTATGGTAACACAACGGATGCTACAGTGATGCAACGGTGGCTATAGTGACGCAATGGATGCTATAGGGATGCAACGCTTGCTATGGGGCCGCAATGGATGCTATGGGGACGCAATGGTTGCTATGGTAACACAATGGACGCTATAGGGATGCAATGCTTGCTATGGGGCCGCAATGGATGCTATGGGGATGCAATGGTTGCTATGGTAACACAACGGATGGTACGGTGATGCAACGATGGCTATGGCAACGCAACGGATGCTATAGGGATGCAACGCTTGCTATGGGGCCGCAATGGATGCTATGGGGCCGCAATGGATGCTATGGGGAATGCAATGGTTGCTATGGTGATGCAATGGTTGCTATGGTAACACAACGGATGCTACGGTGATGCAACATTGGCTATGGCAACGTAACGGATGCTATAGGGATACAGTGCTTGCTATGGGGCCGCAATGGATGCTATGGGGATGCAATGCTTGCTATGGGGCCGCAATGGGGCCAGGCTTCACCTGCTCCAGGGCCTCGGCCAGGCGGCGGTCGAGGCGGCCCTCGCGCTTGCGCAGCTTGGCGCTGTCCCCACTGCAGCCCCTCCAGCGTCGTCCCCATCTCCAACACCTTGGTCTCGGCCGACGTGGCCTTGTCCTGGAGCTCAGCCAGCTGGGGGCAGCAGGGGGATAGCATGGGGATACCCATAGGGATACCCATAGGGATACCCATGGGGATATCATGGGGACAGCATGGGGATACCCATAGGGATACCCATAGGGATATTCATAGGGATACCATAGGGATACCCATAGGGATACCCATAGGGATACCCATGGGGATATCATGGGGACAGCATGGGGATACCCATAGGGATATCATGGGGACAGCATGGGGATACCATGGGGATACCCATAGGGATACCCATAGGGATATTCATAGGGATACCCATAGGGATATCATGGGGATACCATGGGGACAGCATGGGGATACCCATAGGGATACCATGGGGATAGCGTGGGGACAGCATAGGGATACCCATAGGGATACCCATAGGGATACCCATGGGGATACCCATAGGGATATCATGGGGATACCATGGGGACAGCATGGGGATACCCATGGGGATACCCATAGGGATATCATGGGGACAGCATGGGGATACCATGGGGATACCCATAGGGATACCCATAGGAATATTCATAGGGATACCATGGGGATACCATAGGGATACCCATAGGAATACCTTAGGGATACCCATAAGGACACCATGTGGATACCATGGGGATACCCCTAGGGATAGACATAGAGATACCCATGGGGACAGCATGGGAATACCCATAGGGACACCATGGGAATACCCATAGGGACACCCATAGGGATACCATGGGGATACCCACAGAAACACCCATAGGAACACCATGGGGATACCATAGGGATACCCATAGGGATACCCATAGAGATACCATGAGGATATCCATAGGGATACAATGGGGACACCCATAGGGATACCCATTGCGATACCCATAGACCTATCTATACGGATACCACGGGGATACCCATAGGGACACCATGGGGATACCCATAGGGACACCATGGGGATACCCATAGGGAAGCCTTGCCCATAGGGATACCCACGGGGATACCCATAGGGACACCATAGGGATCCCCATAGAACTATCCATAAGGATACCATGGGGATACCCATAGGGATACCATGGGGATCCCCATAGAACTATCCATAAGGATACCATGGGGATATTCATAGGGATACCATGGGGATACTCATAGGGACACCATGGGGATACCACAGGGACACTTAGTGCCCCCATCACCCCATTTCCCCCATTGCCCCCATCGCCCCCCATTGAGCCCCACTGCCCCCCATTGAGCCCCACTGAGCCCCATTACCTCCAGGGACTCCCGGTGATGCTTCTCCTGCAGCTGCAGGGTCAGGTCCTGCAGCCTCCGGTGCTCCCGCAGCAGCTCCCGCAGCAGCACCCGGCCTGGCTCTGGCAGTTCAGCTGGGGGGGGGGCAGCACCCATTGGTACCCAATGGGATCCCAATGGCACCCAATGGTATCGTAACGGCACCCATTGGTAACCAATGGCACCCAAAGGTATCCCAATGGCACCCAACGGTATCCCAATGGCACCCATTGGTACACCAATGGCACCCAAAGGTATCCCAATGACACCCATTGGTTCCCAATGGCACCCAAAGGCAACCATTGGTACCTAATGGGATCCCAATAGCACCCATTGGTACCCAATGGGATCCCAATGGCACCCAATGGTATCCCAATGGCACCTACTGGTACCCAATGGTATCCCAATGGCATCCAAAGGTATCCCAATGGCACCCATTGGTATCCCAATGGCACCCAAAGGTATCCCAATGGCAGCCATTGGTACCCAATGGTATCCCAATGACACCCATTGGTACCCAAAAGTATCCCAAAGGCACCCACTGGTATCCCAATGGCACCCAATAGTATCCCAATGGCATCCATTGGCACCCAAAGGTATCCCAATGGCACCCATTGGTAAGCAATGGCACCCAAACGTACCCCAATGGCACCCACTGGTACCCAGTGGGATCCCAATGGCACCCAAATGTATCCCAATGACACCCACTGGCACCCAGTGGTATCCCAATGGCACCCATTAGCACCTACTGGTATCCCAATGGCACCTATGGGAACCCTATGGTACCCCATTCCCTCTCATAACCACATCCCCCCCAAAATAACCCCATTCCTCCCCATTCCCCCCATAAAAACCCCATTCCCACCCATTCCCCCCCCAATCTCACCCCATAATAACCCCCCATAATAACCCCATTCCCCCCAATCCACCCCATAACCCCCCATTCCCCCCCATAACCCCATTCCCCCCCAATTCCATCCCATAATATCCCCATTCCCCCCCCAATCCCACCCCATTCCCCCCCATTCCCATCCCATAATAACCCCATTCCCATCCCATAATAACCCCATTCCCATCCCATAATAACCCCCCATTCCCATCCCATAATAACCCCCCATTCTCATCCCATAATAACCCCCCATTCCCATCCCATAATAACCCCCCATTCCCATCCCATAATAACCCCATTCCCATCCCATAATAACCCCATTCCCATCCCATATCCCCATTCCCCCCCCAATCCCACCCCATTCCCCCCCATTCCCATCCCATAATAACCCCATTCCCATCCCATAATAACCCCATTCCCATCCCATAAGTAACCCCCCATTCCCATCCCATAATAACCCCCCATTCTCATCCCATAATAACCCCCCATTCCCATCCCATAATAACCCCCCATTCCCATCCCATAATAACCCCATTCCCATCCCATAATAACCCCATTCCCATCCCATATCCCCATTCCCCCCCCAATCCCACCCCATTCCCCCCCCATAATAACCCCCCATTCCCATCCCATAACCCCCCATTCCCCCCCCAATCCCACCCCATTCCCCCCCATTCCCATCCCATAATAACCCCCCATTCCCATCCCATAACCCCCCATTCCCCCCCCAATCCCACCCCATTCCCCCCCATTCCCATCCCATAATAACCCCCCATTCCCATCCCATAATATCCCCATTCCCCCCCCAATCCCACCCCATTCCCCCCCATTCCCATCCCATAATAACCCCCCATTCCCATCCCATAATAACCCCACTCCCATCCCATAATATCCCCATTCCCATCCCATAATAACCCCCCATTCCCATCCCATAATATCCCCACTCCCATCCCATAATATCCCCATTCCCATCCCATAATAACCCCCCATTCCCATCCCATAATATCCCCATTCCCCCCCCAATCCCACCCCATTCCCCCCCATTCCCATCCCATAATAACCCCCCATTCCCATCCCATAATATCCCCATTCCCCCCCAATCCCACCCCATTCCCATCCCATAATAACCCCCCATTCCCATCCCATAATATCCCCATTCCCCCCCATTCCCATCCCATAATAACCCCCCATTTCCCCCCCCAATCCCACCCCATTCCCCCCCATTCCCATCCCATAATAACCCCATTCCCCATCCCATAATAACCCCCCATTCCCATCCCATAATAACCCCACTCCCATCCCATAATAACCCCCCATTCCCATCCCATAATAACCCCCCATTCCCATCCCCGCTCTCACCGTTTCCCGCCAGGCGCCCCCCAGCGGCGCGCGCGCGCTCCTGGGCGCGGGCCAGCACGTGCACGAGGCGCGCCAGCGCCGCCCGAAGCCCCTCCCCTTGAGGCGGCCCCGCCCCCGAGGCTGACGCAGGAGGCCCCGCCCCCTGACGGCTCAGCGCCAACAGGAAGGAGGCGGCCGACGGAGGGGGGAGGGGAGCAGAGGAGCACGGCCATGGGTCTGGGTGGGGGGGGGGGGGAGGGGAAGAGAGTGAGGGATCCCCCCCATTGATAACCCATTGGCACCCATTGATGCCTCATTGATACCCATTGGCACCCATTGATACCCATTGACACCCATTGATACCCACTGATGCCCACTGACACTCATTGACACCCATTGATACCCATTGAGACCCATTGACGCCCATTGACACCCACTGATGCCCGTTGACACCCATTGACGCCCATTGATACCCATTGATGCCCATTGACACTCATTGACACCCATTGATACCCATTGACGCCCATTGACACCCATTGATGCCCATTGACGCCCATTGACACCCATTGACGCCCATTGACACCCATTGATGCCCACTGACGCCCACTGATGCCCGTTGACACCCATTGACGCCCATTAATACCCATTGGCACCCATTGATACCCCATTGATACCCACTGACGCCCACTGATACCCATTGACACCCCATTGATACCCACTGATGCCCACCGACGCCCATTGATACCCATTGGCACCCATTGATACCCTATTGATACCCATTGACACCCATTGATGCCCACTGACACCCATTGACACCCATTGCACCCCACTGGCACCCATTGACGCCTATTGATACCCATTGACAACCACTGACACCCATTGATACCCATTGACACCCATTGATGCCCACTGACGCCCATTGATGCCCATTGACACCCATTGAGACCCATTGGCACCCATTGATACCCATTGGCACCCATTGACGCCTATTGATACCCATTGACACCCATTGGCACCCACTGATGCCCACTGACACCCACTGATGCCTGTTGACACCCATTGACGCCCATTGATACCCATTGGCACCCATTGATACCCATTGATACCCATTGACACCCATTGATACCCATTGACGCCCATTGACACCCATTGATACCCATTGACACCCACTGATACCCATTGACACCCATTGATACCCCCTGGCACCCATTGATACCCATTGGCACCCATTGACGCCCATTGACACCCACTGATGCCCATTGACGCCCACTGATACCCACTGGCACCCATTGATACCCACTGATACCCATTGACGCCCACTGACACCCATTGATACCCACTGACATCCACTGATACCCACTGGCACCCATTGATACCCATTGGCACCCATTGACGCCCATTGACACCCATTGATGCCCATTGACGCCCACTGATGCCCGTTGACACCCATTGATACCCATTGACGCCCATTGATACCCATTGACGCCCATTGATACCCATTGACGCCCACTGATGCCCACTGACACCCATTGATGCCCACTGATGCCCATTGACACCCATCGGCACCCATTGACGCCCATTGATACCCACTGGCACCCATTGACGCCCATTGACACCCACTGACACCCATTGACACCCACTGACACCCATTGGCGGCCACTGATGCCCGTTGATACCCACTGGCACCCACTGCACCCCATAGATACCCCACTGACACCCACTGATACCCATTGGCGCCTATTGCACCCCATTACCCCCATTGACCCCCATTACCCCCCATTGACCCCTATTACCCCGCACTGACCCCATTCCCCCGCATTGACCCCCATTACCCCCCACTGACCCCCATTCACCCCCACTGACCCCCCCATTCCCCCCACTGCCCCCCATTAACCCCACTGCCCCCCATTACCCCCCATTGACCCCATTTCCCCCAGACCCCCATTACCCCCACTGACCCCCATTACCCCGATTGAGCCCCATTACCCCCCACTGACCCCCATTCCCCCCCATTGACCCCCCCATTCCCCCCAGACCCCCATTCCCCCCATTGACCCCCATTCCCCCCATTGACCCCCATTACCGCCTATCGACCCCCATTACCCCCCACTGACCCCCATTGACCCCTATTACCCCCCCATTGACCCCCATTCCCCCATTGACCCCCATTACCCCCCATTGACCAACATCGACCCCCATTACCCCCCAGACCCCTATTACCCCACTGACCCCCATTACCCGCATTGACCATTACCCCCCACTGACCCCCATTGACCCCTATTACCCCATTGACCCCCATTACCCCCATTGACCCCCATTACGCCCCCATTGACCCCCATTACCCCCATTGACCCCCATTACCCCCCACTGACCCCCATTCCCCCCATTGACCCCCCCATTCCCCCCAGACCCCCATTCCCCCCATTGACCCCCATTCCCCCCACTGACCCCCATTACCGCCTATTGACCCCCATTACCCCCCAGACCCCTATTACCCCACTGACCCCCATTACCCGCATTGACCCCCATTACCCCCCACTGACCCCCCCGACCCCATTACCCCCCCATTACCACCCATTGACCCCCATTACTGTCCATAGACCCCCATTACCCCCCACTGACCCCCATTCCCCCCCATTGACCCCCCCATTCCCCACTGACCCCCATTACCCCCCCATTACCACCCATTGACCCCCATTACTGTCCATAGACCCCCATTACCCCCCCCATTGACCCCCATTCCCCCCCATTGACCCCCCCATTGACCCCCATTACCCCCCACAGACCCCCCCGCTGACCCCCATTACCCCCATTGACCCCATTACCCCCCACAGACCCCATTACCCCCCCATTACCCCCCCATTGACCCCCATTACTGTCCATAGACCCCCATTCCCCCCATTGACCCCCATTACCCCCCATTGACCCCCCCATTACCCCCCCAACGACCCCAATAACCCCCCATTGACCCCCCCATTCCCCCCCAGACCCCCATTGACCCCCTCACTGACCCCCATTACCCCCCACTGACCCCCATTGATCCCTATTACCCCCATTGACCCCCATTACCCCCCCATTGACCCCCATTACCCCCCCACTGACCCCAATAACCCCCCATTGACCCCCCCATTCCCCCCAGACCCCCATTCCCCCCATTGACCCCCATTCCCCCCACTGACCCCCATTACCGCCTATTGACCCCCATTACCCCCCAGACCCCTATTACCCCACTGACCCCCATTACCCGCATTGACCCCCATTACCCCCCACTGACCCCCCCTGACCCCATTACCCCCCCATTACCACCCATTGACCCCCATTACTGTCCATAGACCCCCATTCCCCCCATTGACCCCCATTACCCCCCCACTGACCCCAATAACCCCCCATTGACCCCCCCATTCCCCCCCAGACCCCCATTGACCCCCTCACTGACCCCCATTACCCCCCACTGACCCCCATTGATCCCTATTACCCCATTGACCCCCATTACCCCCCCATTGACCCCCATTACCCCTGATTGACCCCCCACTGACCCCCATTACCCCCCACTGACCCCCATTGATCCCTATTACCCCCATTGACCCCATTACCCCCCCATTGACCCCCATTACCCCTGATTGACCCCCATTGACCCCCATTCCCCCCCATTGACCCCCATTACCCCCATTGACCCCCATTACCCCTGATTGACCCCCATTACCCCTGATTGACCCCCATTGACCCCCATTGACCCCCATTCCCCCCCATTGCCCCTCCCCCGCTCTCACCCCTCCTTTCAGGCCCCTCCCCCTCGCCGGGGGGGGGTTCGGGCCCCTCGGGGTGGGGCTCGGGGGGGTCGGCGGGGGAGGGGCACGGGGGGGGCGCCCCTCCCCCCACCCCCTCGCAGCGGCGGAGCAGGGCCTGGACCTCGGCCTCGAGCTGCGGGAGAGGGGGAAATGGGGTGAAAATGGGGGGAAAATGCGGGGAAATGGGGTGAAAATGGGGGGAAATGGGGGAAAATGGGGGGAAAATGGGGGAAAATGGGGGGAAATGGGGGGAAAATGGGGGAAAATGGGGGGAAATGGGGGGAAATGGGGGGAAAATGGGGGAAAATGGGGGGAAAATGGGGGAAATGGGGGGAAAATGGGGGGAAATGGGGGGAAATGGGGGGAAATGGGGGGAAATGGGGGGAAATGGGGGGAAAATGGGGGAAATGGGGGGAAAATGGGGGGAAATGGGGGGAAATGGGGGAAAATGGGGGGAAATGGGGGGAAATGGGGGGAAATGGGGGGAAATGGGGGAAATGGGGGGAAATGGGGGGAAATGGGGGGAAATGGGGGGGAATGGGGGGAAATGGGGGAAAATGGGGGGAAATGGGGGGAAATGGGGGAAAATGGGGGAAAAATGGGGGGAAATGGGGTGAAAATGGGGGGAAACGGGAAAAATGGGGGAAAATGGGTGAAAATGAGGGAAAATGGGGGGAAATGGGAAAAAATGGGGGAAATGGGGGAAAATGGGGGGAAATGGGGTGAAAATGGGGGAAATGGGCAAAAATGGGGGGAAATGGGGGGAAAATGGGGGAAAATGGGAAAAAATGGGGGGAATGGGGTGAAAATGGGGGAAAATGGGGGGAAATGGGGGAAAATGGGGGGAAATGGGGGGAAATGGGGTGAAAATGGGCAAAAATGGGGGGAAATGGGGGGAAAATGGGGGGAAAATGGGGGGAAATGGGAAATGGGGGAAATGGGGGAAATGGGGGGAAAATGGGGGAAAATGGGGGGAAAATGGGGGGAAATGGGGGGAAACGGGAAAAAATGGGGGGAAATGGGGGGAAATGGGGTGAAAATGGGGGAAAATGGGGGGAAACGGGAAAAATGGGGGAAATGGGGGAAAATGGGGTGAAAATGGGGGAAAATGGGGGGAAACGGGAAAAATGGGGGAAATGGGGTGAAATGGGAAAAATGGGGGGAAATGGGGGGAAAATGGGCAAAATGGGGAAATGGGCAAAAATGGGGGAAATGGGGGGAAATGGGTGAAAATGGGGGGAAATGGGAAAAAATGGGGGAAATGGGGGAAAATGGGAAATGGGGGAAAATGGGAAATGGGGAAATGGGAAAAATGGGGGAAATGGGGGGGAAATGGGGTGAAAATAGGGGAAATGGGAAAAATGGGGGAAATGGAATGGGGTAAAAATGGGCAAAAGGGGGAAATGGGGGGAAATGGGGGGAAAACGGGGGGAAATGGGAAAAAAGTGGGGGAATGGGGGGAAATGGGAAAAACGGGGGAAATGGGAAAAAAGAGGTGGAATGGGGGGAAATGGGGTGAAAACAAGCAGCAGGGTGGCATCGTCGGTGGCCTGGCGCTCCTCAAGGCGCTCGATGCGCTCCCTATGTGTCTCTATGTGTCTCTATGTGTCCCTATGTGTCTCTATGTGTCCCTATGTGTCCCTATGTGTCCCTATGTGTCCCTATGTGTCTCTATGTGTCCCTATGTGTCTCTATGTGTCCCTATGTGTCCCTATGTGTCTCTATGTGTCCCTATGTGTCTCTATGGGTCCCTATGTGTCCCTATGTGTCCCTATGTGTCTCTATGTGTCCCTATGTGTCTCTATGTGTCCCTATGTGTCCCTATGTGTCTCTATGTGTCCCTATGTGTCCCTATGTGTCCCTATGTGTCCCTATGTGTCTCTATGTGTCCCTATGTGTCCCTATGTGTCTCTATGTGTCCCTATGTGTCTCTATGTGTCCCTATGTGTCCCTATGTGTCCCTATGTGTCCCTATGTGTCTCTATGTGTCCCTACGTGTCCCTACGTGTCCCTACGTGTCCCTATGTGTCTCTATGTGTCTCTATGTGTCCCTATGTGTCTCTATGTGTCTCTATGTGTCTCTATGTGTCTCTATGTGTCCCTATGTGTCTCTATGTGTCCCTATGTGTCCCTATGTGTCTCTATGTGTCTCTATGTGTCCCTATGTGTCTCTATGTGTCCCTATGTGTCTCTATGTGTCCCTATGTGTCTCTATGTGTCTCTATGGGTCCCTATGGGTCCCTATGTGTCTCTATGTGTCCCTACGTGTCCCTACGTGTCCCTACGTGTCCCTACGTGTCTCTATGTGTCTCTATGTGTCCCTATGTGTCTCTATGTGTCTCTATTTGTCCCTATGTGTCTCTATGTGTCCCTATGTGTCCCTATGTGTCTCTATGGGTCCCTATGTGTCCCTATGTGTCTCTATGTGTCCCTATGTGTCTCTATGTGTCCCTATGGGTCCCTATGTGTCTCTATGTGTCTCTATGTGTCCCTATGTGTCTCTATGTGTCCCTATGTGTCCCTATGTGTCTCTATGGGTCCCTATGTGTCCCTATGTGTCTCTATGTGTCCCTATGTGTCTCTATGTGTCCCTATGTGTCTCTATGTGTCTCTATGGGTCCCTATGGGTCCCTATGTGTCTCTATGTGTCCCTACGTGTCCCTACGTGTCCCTACGTGTCCCTACGTGTCTCTATGTGTCTCTATGTGTCCCTATGTGTCTCTATGTGTCTCTATGGGTCCCTATGTGTCTCTATGTGTCCCTATGTGTCCCTATGTGTCTCTATGGGTCCCTATGTGTCCCTATGTGTCCCTATGTGTCTCTATGTGTCCCTATGTGTCCCTACGTGTCTCTATGTGTCCCTATGTGTCTCTATGTGTCTCTATGTGTCCCTATGTGTCCCTATGTGTCCCTATGTGTCTCTATGTGTCTCTATGTGTCCCTATGTGTCCCTATGTGTCCCTATGTGTCTCTATGTGTCTCTATGTGTCCCTATGTGTCCCCATGTGTCCCCACGGGTCCGTACCTGTGCCCAGGAGCGGTTGACGAGCAGCAGGGTGGCGTCGTCGGTGGCCTGGCGCTCCTCGAGGCGCTCGATGCGCTCCCGGAGCTCGTCCTCCACCGCCTGCCGCTGCTCCAGCCGCTCCGCCAGGCGCTTGTTGCGGAACTGCAGCACCTTCAGGTCCATCTCCTCCTGCCGGAGACACACAGGGACCCATAGGGACACATTGGGACCCATAGAGACCCATAGGGACACATAGAGACACATAGGGACACATAGGGACACATAGGGACACATAGGGACACATAGGGACACATAGGGACCCATAGAGACACATAGGGACACATAGAGACACATAGGGACACATAGAGACACATAGGGACACATAGGGACACATAGGGACACATAGGGACACATAGGGAACCATAGGGAACCATAGAGACCCATAGAGACACATAGAGACACATAGGGACACATAGAGACACATTGGGACACATTGGGACACATAGAGACACATAGGGACACATAGAGACACAGGGACACATAGGGACACATAGGGACACATAGAGACACATTGGGACACATAGAGACACATAGGGACACATAGAGACACATTGGGACACATTGGGACACATTAGGACACATAGGGACACATAGAGACACAGGGACACATAGGGACACATAGGGACACATAGAGACACATAGAGACCCATAGAGACCCATACAAACACCACAGGGACCCATATCACCCCATATCCCCCCCATAAACCCCCATATCCCCCCCACAGCCCCCCATATCCCCCCCATTTCCCCCTATATCCCCCCCATATCCCCCCCATATCCCCCCATTTCCCCCCCATATCCCCCCCTATCCCCCCACCGTTGAGGAGATGCCCCCCAGCCTCAGGGGCTCGATGAGCGTGGTCGGGGCCTGCTCCTCCCTGGGGGGCTTCTTCTCGGGGGGGCCCCCCCCGGGCTCGGGGGCGCCGCGCTTCAGCCCCGGCCCCGACATGGGGCCTCTATGGGGCCGCTATGGGGCTCTATGGGGCCTCTATGGGGCCTATGGGCCTCTATGGGCCTCTATGGGCCTCTATGGAGCCTCTATGGGCCTCTATGGGCCTCTATGGGCCTCTATGCGGCCTCTATGGGGCCGCTATGGGGCTCTATGCGGCCTCTATGGGGCGCTGTGGGGCTCTATGGCCTCTATGGGGCTCTATGGGGCGCTATGGGGCCTATGGGGCGCTATGGGGCCTATGGGGCGCTCCGTGAGGCGGAGCCCCCGCTCCCCCAACCGCCGCCGCCAGCGGCCAGGCCCCGACTGAGGCGGCGCATGCGCAGCGGCACGCCCCGCCCTCTTCCGGGCGCGGGGACCAATCAGCGCGGAAAGGGGGCGGAGCCGAGCGCTCTTAAAGGGGCAACGCTGCGTTTAATGCAGCTTAAGCGGTCGGGGCACAGAGGGAACGACCCCAACCCCATTGAGCCCTATAGGGAGCCCCCTCACCCCATAGGGACCCCCACACCCCATTGCCCCCTATAGGGACACCCACCCCATAGGGACCCCCCCACCCCATAGGGACCGACCCCCAACCCCATTACCCCCTATAGGGACCTCCCCACCCCATAGGGACACCCCCAACCCCAATGCCCCCTACAGGGACCCCCCCACCCCATAGGGACCCCCCCACCCCATAGGGACACCCCCAACCCCCATTGAGCCCTATAGGGAACCCCCCCACCCCATAGGGACCCCCCTACACCATTGCCCCCTATAGGGAACCTCCCCACCCCATTGCCCCCTATAGGGACACCCACCCCATAGGGACGCCCCCACCCCATATGAACACCCCCACCCCCATTACCTCCTATAGGGAGCCCCCCACCCCATTGCCCCCTATAGGGACACCCACCCCATAAGGACTCCCCCACCCCATAGGGACACCCCCACCCCATTGCCCCCTATAGGGATACCCACCCCATAGGGACACCCCCACCTCATAAGGATCCCCTGCACCCCATAACCCCCCATAGAGACCTCCCACACCCCATTGCCCTCTATAGGCACCCCCACCCCATAGAGACCCCCCCCACCCCATAGGGGCCCCCCCCCCCCTATTATCTCCCATAGGGACCCATCCACCCCATAGGGACCCCCCCCACCCCATTACCCCCTATGGGGACCCCCCCCCCCCCTCCCCCAGCCCCATAAGTGACCCCTATGGGGCAGGGGGTCCCCAAAACCGGTTTTAACCCTTTATTCATAGCAGGAAAGCTACAGCCCCACATTGCCCCACACTGGGGGGAAGAGGGGGGCAGGCCCTATAGGGACCCCCCCCCCAGCCCCATAGGGTCCCCCCCATAGCCCATCACAAAGCAGCTTTGCATAGATCGTGTTCAAAAGGAACCTATTTTACACTGAGGGGGCGGGCATCCCATAATATACAATGGGTAAAAAACATCCCCCCCCCATTGCCCCACATCGCCTCCGCGCCCCCCCCCCCCCCCCCTTTTCCTTCCTGCCCCACATTGGGCCCCATAGCGCCCCATAGCTCCGCCCTCCCACCACAAGATGGCCGCCGGTTACGACATCCATTGGAGTCAAGGTGGCCGCTGGGGGGGGGGGGGGGGAGGGGAGGGGGCCGTTGCCGGGTTCAAGATGGCCGCCGGGGGGGGGAAGGGGGAGGGGGGTGACGTCATTGTTCAAGATGGCCGACGAGGGGTGACGTCACTGGATTCAAGATGGCCGATGAGGGGTGACGTCACTGCGTTCAAGATGGCTGACGAGTGGTGACGTCACTGCGTTCAAGATGGACGACGAGGGGTGACGTCACTGGATTCAAGATGGCTGACGGGGGGTGACGTCACTGCGTTCAAGATGGCTGACGAGGGGTGACGTCATTGGATTCAAGATGGCCGACGAGGGTGACGTCATTGGATTCAAGATGGCTGACGAGTGGTTACATCACTGGGTTCAAGATGGCTGACGAGGGTGACGTCATTGGATTCAAGATGGCCGACGAGGGGTGACGTCACTGGGTTCAAGATGGCCGACAAGGGGGTGACATCATTGGATTCAAGATGGCTGCTGGGTATGATGTCACTGGATTCAAGATGGCGGACGAGGGGTGACGTCATTGGATTCAAGATGGCCAACGCGGGTGACATCATTGGATTCAAGATGGCTGCTAGGTATGACGTCACTGGATTCAAGATGGAGGTCGAGGGGTGACGTCATTGGATTCAAGATGGCCGCCGGTTGTGACATCACTGCCCAAGATGGCCGCGGGTTCTGACGTCAGCATTGGAGGTGACCGCCGGTTGTGACATCATCAGATTCAAGATGGCCGCCATTTATGACGTCAGCATTCAATATGGCTGCTGCTTATGACATCACCGGTCATGATGGCTGCCGCTTGTGACATCACGGGTCAAGATGGCCGCCATTTATGACGTCAGCATTCAATATGGCTGCTGCTTATGACATCAGCACATCCAATATGGCCGCTGCTTATGACATCACTAAGACGGCAACCGCTGATGACATCACTGTGCAAAGTAACCGCCTTTTATGACATCACGACTCGTACACGGCCAACGCTGATGACGTCACCAACATGGCTAACGCTGATGACGTCACTCTCCAAGATGGCCACCGCCTCCGCCATCAGCAGACCCCATGGGACCACCGCTGGTGACGTCACTGCCCAACATGGCCGCCGCTTGTGACATCACAACCCAAGATGGCCGCGGCTTATGACATCAGCAGTCAACACGGCTGCCCTTTATGACGTCACACCCCAAGATGGCCGCTGCTCATGACATCACGACTTGAGACGGCCACCAGTTATGACATCACGACTCGAGACAGGTCCCGCTTATGACGTCACTAATCAAGATGGCCGCCGCTTGTGACATCAGCACTCGACACGGCCGCCCTTTATGATGTCACACCCAAAGAAGGCCACCAATTATGACATCACTGCTCAAGATGGCCGCCCCTTATGACGTCAGCACACTCAACAGCCGCCCTTTATGACGTCACACCCCAAGACGGCCGCCCCTTATGACGTCACTGCTCGAGACGGCCGCCACTTATGACATCACCACTCGAGATGGGTACCGCTTATGACGTCACTGCTCAAGACGGCCGCCGCTTATGACATCAGCACTCGACACGGCCGCCCTTTATGATGTCACAACGCCAAGATGGCCGCCGCTTATGACATCAGCACTCGACACGGCCACTCTTTATGACATCACAACGCTAAGATGGCCGCCGCTTGTGACATCAGCGCTCGACACGGCCGCCCTTTATGACGTCACGCCCAAAGGTGGCCACCAATTATGATGTCACACCCCAAGATGGCCACTGCTTATGATGTCACGGCTTGAGACGGCCGCCGCTTATGACATCACCACTCGAGATGGGTACCGCTTATGACGTCACAACCCCAAGGCAGCCGCCGCTTATGACATCAGCACTCGACACGGCCGCCCTTTATGACGTCACAACCCCGAGGCGGCCGCCCCTTATGACGTCACTGCTCGACACGGCCGCCGCTTATGACGTCACCTCCTCCTCCTCTCCCCTCCCCCTTCTTCCCCCCCCCCCTCCCCA